CAATACCATGATCAGTCCATTCTGGCTTCAGTAGTTCCTCATGGTTGCCTTGACCGTGGTCACTCCCTACCAGTCCTCCCGTCCCCTCCCTACCGTTGGTTTTGAACCTTTTTAAGGAGAAATAAAATCACTTTTTTAGGAGAGTTAAGTATTCCATGGGATTTTTGTCTGATTAAGTTTCTTTAATGCTTCTTTCTGAAGGTGAAATGTTACATACTCTCCCAAACAGCAGCATTCTCATTAATGCATCTAGAATGAGCCTTGTAGTAATAGTGTTTTAAAAATGGTTGACAGCATCTCACCTCCTCTAACTGTAGATGCAGGAGAGAGGATGAACCATCAACATCAGCTCTGATTCGTACGAGGCAGAGCTTTATTCGGTAACAGTGTGTAAATTGGTATCAGAATCAATAGGCTACACATTGGCATTCATATTAAAGAACTATGTAGGCACTTTTGCTCTTCTTTGGGGCAGGCCTGTTTTCCCTGTCCCCTATCAGACATTTTACCCTCCAAAGGTAGACTCATTTTTTAGTTCCATCTATATAGGTTCCCCTCAACTCCTTTGGGATATCCTCTTCTTAATCTTGCCTGCCTGTCCCATTATCTTGGCTAAAAAGTCCTTTCTGGACCTGTCACCATTGGCTGTGTCACTGTATCCCATCTACCTTGGTCATTATCTTCATTGGATAGCTATTGACCCATGAATAGTAGAGTTCATTTTATTGGAGCAGCAGTAGACCAGGCCCTAGGTGATTGAGGTTCAAGATGTTCCATGATATGCTCTGCAGCATCTCACAAAACTAAATAGCCATCAAGTCAATAAATCCCTGTTCAAGATGTGGAAGCTGGTGAGTCCCAACTCTATATACAGATCAGGTATCAGTCTGCAGGGTTCTCCTCATTAATGTGTTTGCAAAGGCTCATGAACCACTTCATCAGGTCAGACAACAGTCCACTGCCTCACAAAGTGAAGTTTTTGAATCTGGTCAGATAATAGGTTGCAGGGGCTGAGTAATCCAAATGGGAAGGTAAGACAGCAAGCTGTTGGCTCATAGAGTGGAGGAAGTTCTCAAGTCAAGTCATACAGCCGGCTCACAGTTGTCATTCAAGGAAATGGATCTTGAATTTCTGGAAGCTGGCAAATCCCTAATCCATGGGATCATTCTGAAGTATGTGGCTGCAGGGGCTAATAAAACCAAATCAACAGGTCAGGTAACAGGCCAGTGTCTCACAGTCTCTTCTCAAACCATGCCTGCAGGCAGTTCTCTCTCTCCCTCTTGATATGATGGCTTCTTGGCCCAACCTAGCACCTTCCCTGTCTAGGCAAGATAGGAGGGCTCCAGTGGTACACCCAACAGACCTAGGAGGTGCCCCTTGGAGAGCATGTGGTGAAAGATGGCAAGTTCAAGAGGACCTTGCAATTAAAGTTAAGGCAATATGGTCCGAAGGTGGCTGAGAAGAATTTGTCCTAAGGTTGTCAAGAGGAGCTTGTCCTAAGGTGGCCTTTTAAAGTTACAATGTTGTTCTGAACTCAGGAAGGGAGATATTGCCTACGAACATTCTGATCTTGGTTCTGAATTATAGCTTCTTGTTCCTGATCCCAAGTTGTACCTTGGTCATTAATAGACCACGTTGATCTATGGAGTTTTGTGTGACCATAGCAACAGGTTATCAAACCCAGAAGTGAGACAAAGAGTGGTGTGGGAAGAATGACTTGTGTAAGAATTGACAAAAAATGTTGGAGAGGTGAGGTATGTTTGACCTCCCCCATCTGAACTGTTCCTGATACTTATTGCCACTCAAGGTACCGAGCCTTTTATAATGGTGATACTGGTAGAAGTCCTAATTCCATTTAATAATAAACAGGTGTTTACTTTGTGTGAGTGTAAAGCTGAGCTATTTCTAGCTCATTCAGATAATTTTACTGGAACTCAAAATTTTAATTTTATGAGTGGGTGCATTATTTTTGGGCACTGGGGTCCCCAACACTCGAAAAGTGATCCTCAGGAGTACATTGCAATTGTGGCAAATATTAAAAGACAGAGATCAGACAGTAGGACACAGGGGCTATCTTCCCATGTCAGGACTGAGAGAGTAAATATATTTTCCAGTGGGTATATATAATGGAGCTTACAGATCTTTCCATAAGGCGTGCATGTCATGCAGTTAGCATATACATAGTCAAGGGGTAATAGCATAAACAGGTAAAATAATAAACAAGCAAGATGGTTAGTTACCATCTTGACCTAGTGTTAGTTGACTTAGAACTGGCCCTGGGCCCTCCCCAGGCACTTGCTACATTTATGTTGGTTTGGCTATAGAACCCAATTGCTCTGACCTACAGATAACCTTCAGGCATAGTGAAGTAGCCAGGCACAGAAATGATTCATCTACTATGGCAGCTCCTTTAAGATTGCTCCTTAATGGAGAGTTATTGTGGGGGGCACATTATTTGGCCTGGAGAACGTGTATTTGAAAACATTTATTTCTCAGAACAATGGAGATATTTCTGAAAATAAGGCTAGTTTTCTGGGCCAATGGCTACGAATGTAGAAATAAGGTCAAATATTTTCTACCGAGTCCTCAGTTGATGACACATTATGGAATGCACTACCACAATAGTTTTATTACTGTTTTGCTTTCTTTACTGTAAGATATATATTTTTAAATCTTCAAATGAAAAATACGTCATTAAACACACTCGTCTTACTATAGGAATCACTGGCATTCAATGATGTGGCTATAAAGTTCACCTGGGAGGAATGGCAGCTCCTGAACCCTGCTCAGAAGACCCTATATCAGGATGTGATGTTGGAGAACTATCGCAACCTGGTTTCCACTGGTGAGGAGAATTCTCAAGTCTTTGGCTTTTCCTTTCTTATGTGTTAAAATCTTTGCAGTGTCTGTGGTGTTCTCAAAGAGGTAGATTCTCATTGCATTCTCTCGTCCTAGGTCAGTGGGTTAGGTCTTCTATCCTTGAAAGAACACTATTTACATTGTTCCTTTGAACATTATTTCCCTAGAAATACAACATTCTGCAGGCTTTACAAATGTAGGTTAATGTTGGTATCTAAGATTCTGTAATTTCTCATAAACAGGTTATCTAGTTGTCAGCCCAGAAGCTTTCTCTCAACTGGAACAAGGAGAACTGTGTTCATTATTAGAAGCAAGCTATAGTGTAATTTTCCCTGATGCATGGTCAAAATACCTTAAGGGAATTGACTCGGGGAGTTGATTCAACTGGTAGAAGGCTTCATATCTATGATAGGTGTCGGAAAATGCATAAAATGTGTGCTTCTTTGAATGTGAGAGCTCACTTGTCCTAGATGTTGAGTGAAGTACACCTGTAGCTCTTAAGAGATTAGATTTCCATTTACTTGTTTTACACTATTGTATGTTTGCTTCCATAATTTTCTTTCTTTAACATTCTGAAATTTTCCCTCCTTTATGTGTTTCCACTTTACTATGAAAATCCATCTTGCAAGACTCTCTCCAAACAGAGAACTCTGAAGTTTTAAATGTCCTCTGAATGTCCTCTGAATACAGCACATTCCTCCCCTACTGAGTAAAAATGGTTTTCCCTTTGTAGTATGCAACACCATCTTGGATCTTGAACTCCCACTATAAAAGGGTCTCCTTTGTGCTTCCTTAGCTTCCCCCCTTGGAGTTTCTCTAAAGGTTTTGGTGTCCATTTTCTCATTTGTTCTCCTGTTCCTTTAAAGTTTTCTTCATTCAGGTGATATAAGTTCTTTCTGATAGAGATGGTCAAATTGCCTTCTCTGTTGGAATACTTTTTTTTTTAAAACATATTTGCATTTTATTTTAAATAGATTATATTATAGATACATTTTAAATCCAATTTAAAGCTATCTTTTTTTAAAATCAATTTATTGGGGCTCATACAATTCATCACAATACATAGATCAATTGTATAAAACACATCTATACATTTGTTGCCCTCATTAT